TTTTTAAAGAAATATTTTTTTTCTTTTATCATTTTTTTTTTTTATGAATATATTGAAGAATTATATAATATAAATATTATTTAAAGGCTTTTTCAATATGATATAATTTTTAAATATAAAAAAAAAATTTGGTTCTTTGAAAATACTTTTTTTTTTTTAATGTATTAAAAAATCAATAAATTAAATTTTAAATCCTCTTAAACAAATATTTATTTTTTCAAAAAATCTATAAATTTTTAAAGCAAAATTTTTTTATTTATCATTATTTTTTGATTTATGAAATTTTTTTTTTATTTCAAAAATATATTTAATATTTATATTTATGCAAATATCATTTTTAAATGGTTTGAAATTTCTGATTTTGCATATAATTATTTTATAATATATATGATATTAGATAACTTTTAAAAAAAAAAAAATCAACTGGAAAAATTATTAAATCTTTAAATAATAATATTTCCAGCAAATTATAATTTTATATATTTTTTATATTTTATTTTTTTTGTTTTGTTATTCCTGGGTCAAATTCTTAACAAATACATTTTTAAAGAATTTTATGAAAAAATAAATTAAATTTTGTCAAAAAATGTATCATATGAATTTGCTCTTTTGAAAAAAATTTTTTTTACAATTAATAATTATATAAAAAAATTTTTGAATCTATTTAAAAATTTTTAAAAATTTTTTTTTAAATTAATTTTTTTTTAACAAACTTTCCATTTTCCTTTTGATGGAATTTTCTTTGATTTTTATTGCATTTTTTCATTAATTTTTTAAATTAAATTTTATAAAGTAGGATAATAAATTTATTTATTATTTTTTTTATATTTAAAAATTTTTTATTTTTTTCATATCATTAAATTTAAAATTGATTTATTTTTATTTTATTTTCATATGGGGCTTTCAAAATTTTAATTTCTTTTTTTATATATAAAAATTTTATTATTCTAATTTAATTATTATATTTTAAAAACTCAATTTATAGATGTTTTTAAATATTTTTATTAAATTCAAAAATGAAAAAAATCAAAAATAAAATTATAAATTTAATGCATTCTTTTTTATTTTTAACAAATATTTTATTTATATAAAAAGAATTTAATATTAAATTTTTAAAATATAAATTTAATATTTTTAAAATAAAAAAAAAAAAAAATTTTTACTTAAATTTATATTTATAAAAATATTTAATATAACATAAATTTGTATATTTTAAAATTTTTTTTTTTAAAATTTTTTTAAAAATTTTTATTCAAAAAAAAAGATATTATGAAAATTTTTCCTATTTAAATTTTTAAAAAAACATAACTAAAAAAATTTGAAAAAATATTTTAAAAAAAAAAATAATTTTATATATATTTTTAAATTTTATTTAATTATATTTATTCATTCAATATATTTTTTCAATATAATATTTTCAAAATTTTTCATTTCAACAAATAAAATTTTTTTTAAAATTATGATCAAAAGTTATATTTATTTTAAAAAAAATTCTTTTTTTCGTTTTAATATTTTTTTTTTTTAAAAATTCCCAAAAAAAAAAAAAATAAATGTTGTTTTTTATAAAAACAATTATTTAAGATATGTAATTTTTTTTAATTTATAAATAACTATTTATTTTTAAAAAGATGGGGAAAAAAAAATTTAAAATATCTTTAAAAATATATAAATGTAAAATATAAAATGTTCTTTTCCTTTTTAAATGTTGGAAAAAAATGCATTTTATATATGTATTTGTTTAATCATTTTTTGGGAAATATAAATTATGTTATAAAACATGACAATTTAATAAATTATTCCAATTAATATTGAATTTTGAATATTATAAAAAAATTGAAAATCAAAATTTAAATATTTTTTATAGTAAAATAAATATATTTTTCTATTAAAAAAAAAAAAAATCAAAAAAATCTTATTTAAATATTTAAATATACTGATGGGGGTTTTTAAATTTAAGAAAAATTTAATATTTGAAAATTTTAAATTCAAATTTGAAATATTTCTTATTTATTTATTTTAAAATAAATTGAAAAAATCATTTAATTATTGATAAATTGATTTGGTCATTTCTTCAAATCTTTCACATTGAAAATTCAAATTTTTTATTTTTTTTATATATTTATCTTCAAAAATAATATATATATATATATATATATATATATATATATATATATATATATCTATATATATCAGGTCATCCCATAAGTTCTGTCCGAATTTTAACTTTTTTTAAAATGAACAAAATTTAAAGAGTATTTTATAATGTCTAATGGAGCTGAACATTATTTTTATGTTTAGATGCATTTAAACTGATCAAATTTTATTTCAGAGAACAATAAAATTAAATTTTGTTTGATTAAAACCCTGCTAACATGGAAGTACCCAAGAATCATTTGAGGCACATAATGCTTTATGAGTTCAAGAAAGGAAACTCAGCAGCCGAAGCGGCTAGAAACATTCACTCAGTTTATGGAGAGGAATGTGTGAATGAAAGAACTTGCAGAAGATGGTTTGCAAAATTCAGAGGTGGAGATTTCATCCTTGAAGATGAAGATCGAACCGGACGTCCAGTTGAGTTTGATGAAAAGCTTCTTGAAGAGCCCTTGAAGAAAATCCTGCTTTATCAGTTGAGGAATTGGCAGTGGTTCTCAGTTCAAACCATACAACTGTTCATCGTCATCTTCAACAACTTGGAAAAGTTCCTAAACTTGGAAAATGGGTGCCTCATGAATTGTCTGAAAACAACCTCAAATCCCAGTTGACATCTGCTCTTCTCTCCATTCTCGCCAACTTGTTTCACCTTTTTTGGATAGACTTGTGACTGGCGACGAAAAATGGATCTTTTATCGAAATGTTAAGCATCGTAGACAGTGGCTTGGTAAAGGGGAAGACCCCCAGCCACAGCCGAGAAGGGAACTTCATGGGCAAAAGGTTCTTCTTTCAATCTGGTGGGATCGCCAAGGAATAATCCACTTTGAATTCTTACCACCTAATGCAACAATTAATGCTCAAATATACTGTCAGCAATTAGAGCGTTTGAACCAAGCTTTGAGGAAAAAAAACCTGCTCTAGTGAATCGAAAAGGGGTGATGTTTCATCAGGACAATGCGCGACCCCACACAGCAAGAATCACGTCACAAAGTATCGAAGAACTTGGTTGGGAGAAAATTCCTCATCCACCTTATTCTCCCGATCTTGCTCCTTCAGACTACCATTTGTTTCGTAGCTTACAGAATCATTTGGAAGAAACAGCTTTTGTAACACAGGAAGAGGTTAAAACTGACATTTGTGAGTTCTTTTTGAATCAAAGCCAAAAGAATTTTTACAGTAATGGAATTAGTAAGCTTGTTAATAGATGGAAGGAAGTCATAGATAATCAGGGAAAATACATTGTTGATTGAATCTGTAATTAAATGTAATTGCTAATCCTAACCTCTAGGAGAGTAACCCATTGCACCTTCTCAGACTAACATTTTCCATTGGCATCAAGTGCAAAGATTATATTGAATTAATTGATATAGTCTGCTGCTAGGAAATTTGATTGACTGTCATGTTAAACAATTTTTCTTGCCAAAATCTATCTTACATATTTATAAGTCTACCATTTGTCCATATGTTAGATATTGCTATGTATTTAGAGATTCTTGACAAAATCCAAAGAAGAATCTGAAATGTTATCAGTTCTAACCTGGCATCTCGGCTTCAGTCACTTTTTCACTGAGTTAACATAGCTTCCCTGTGTCTTTTCCATAAATATTTTCATTGTAATTGTTCTGATGATCTTCCCTATTTGATATCTCAAATTTACAAATTTAAGCTCACTACTAGATTAGTAGCTATTTCTCATCCTTTTACTGTTGAAATTGCTAAATGTAACCATAATTTCTATGCTAACAGTTTCTTCTCCCACACCTCTCATTTGTGGAATTCTCTTCTGCTTCTTGCTTTCTGATCAATTTTGATCTTCCAAAATTTAAATGCAATAATTGTTATCTTCTATCTTGTTAATCCTGTACTATTGTACTCCTTAATAATGTTTTTTTTTTCTTATATTCTTTCATGCTCAGTAATCCCTTGCTTCTTAATGGCTTTATTTAATTGGTGTAATGATTACTTAATGAGTTTTTCAAGTCCCCTGACCACCACTGTTATCATTTTTGTCCTTACCTTTCAGTTAGTCTACTTTCCAGCTCAGATAATTGAGGCCTTATATGAATATGTTTTTATTTGTAATATTTTAGTCTTTCTGTTTTAAATACATGACATTTCTTATAGATGTTATTATAGACATAACAATTTTACCAAGTATCCTCTATCTCTACTAATAGGGAATATCTAATTACGATGTTAGTTTTGTCCCCATGAGGCTGCATCTTGTTCATTCTTGCTGAATCAGATCATGTAGATTTCATTACCTGATTCACAGATTGTATTCATGACCACTGACAGCAACAATTTATTACCCAAAGCCTATGTGCACTAAGCTAACATCCTGAAGGACAGCATTATATTTTTGGAAACTTTTATATTCACAGTCAGATAATTTTGGCATTTCTCGTTATAATGGTTTGTTCTTTTTGATAATTTGTTTTTTTATTTTTAATCAGACATATTTTTGTGCAACATTCTTCTATATTTGATTTCTAATGATAAATAGAAGCTACTATTTGTTATGGAAAATGATATGTTTTTCCTTTAATTTGCCTTAAGTTCTGAATACATGCATCAACAAATTCTCATCATACTTTATGTTCTTTATTTTTACTCTGTGCCTACTGATATTAAAGATTTCATTGACTGATATCAATAACTCATCTCAAAATTCTAAATGGTTATCTTTATTCTACACCTAATTCTTGTCTTTTTTTTTCATCTTTATATCATATGCACTTATTATTAATTTATCTACAAATAATAATACTGACTGCATTAACATCATTGATTATTGATTTTCCAGTTATTATTTTGAAATGATTTTATGATTCTTTTGTTTTATTTAGGCAAAAGCTTTCACAATGAGAAATTGCGAGAATACCAATTGAACCGTATGAAATATTATTATGCTGTGGTAGAATGTGACACAATGGAAACAGCCAGTTATATCTACAATGAACTGGATGGTGCTGAGTATGAAAGTAGCAAGACATGCTTTGATTTACGGTCAGTAATTTTCTAACATTGAAATTGAACATATTAGTTATTTGCTCTTGTTATATTTAAGGAAAACCTCAGAAACACCAAGAAATGTTTTTCAAGTATATGCTTTTTGGTTTTGAGGAGAAAAGTTACAGAAATTTGAATTATCTTATGTTAACAAATATTTTAATATTTTGTCATATCCTTATAATGTGTAAAGATCTTTGCAAAAGTAGATGCATAACAATAAGCTATGTGAGTTTTTAAGAATTATTATTCAATTATAGATCATGACAGGTAATTACAGATTCAGACAAGTTAATCTAACCAATTGTCCAGTGTAAGAGTTAATCTATATTTTATCTTTTCAATGATATAAAATTTTATTTCTATTTCAACTTTTAACAAAACATTTCTTTTTGAAATTCTATAAAGGAAAACAAACAATATAAAATGATATTAAAAAAATTGGTAAAATTCAATGTAAACTTTAGCTACAATATCTCTTAATATCAAAAAATTTTGATGCCTCACGTCTATAGGTACACTTAGTTTTGAAAAGAATTTGTTTAAACTAACATTGCCATAGTCGTGAATAATCTTATTGTTCTGATTTTCAGATTTATTCCTGATGACATGGAATTTGATGAGGAATTCAAAGATATTTGTACTGAATTGCCTAACAAAGATGTGTATAAACCTAACCAATTTCTCAGTACAGCATTGAGTGAAGCTGAGGTAACAAGGTCTTGTTTTATATTCAAACAGATTTCATGAAGTGGATTTTATAAAATTATAATATAACAAAATATAAAGAAATAAAGTTTAAATGTCTATGTGAAAATGTCTCGTGTAGATTAAAAGGCTTTTTATATGCATGGTGTATAATTTGAAATTTTTCAGTTCCAATTTGTCTTTCTAATTTTGTTCCATAACAACTTTTATTGATCAACAGTTTTGAATCACTGTCATGATAATTTTTGTAAGTGTGCAGATATATTTAGATGCTAATTTGAATTTTCTCAATTTTCAAGAGATATATTTTAACATTTTTTAAATATTGGTTTTATTTGTAATATGTCATTAATTTTGTTAATGCTTTATATATTAATTATTGTTTTTATGGAGTAGAAGGTTGCAAAAAATAGACTCTCAGTGAAGTTTAAACCTCACTAGTAACAGTTTGTTTGCTGACCACAACTCTATGGCAGATGGCTTTGCTCTTATCAGATCTCCTTTCTCAAATTTTAAGAGTTTTTGAAGTAAACGAATAATATCAATTAACACATATTAAAAAGGTAACTTTACAAACCAAATGGTTGAGTCATAAATAATTTCTGTTGTACAATTATATTTTATTATTTACAATGACTTGTTGCCACTTATAAGGAAGCTCTTTGATACCTTTTGAGTAAGATTCTGCAGGTTTCAATGCAAAAAAGTTTTCAAACTTCTGAATCTGGTTTTCATTAGAGAAAGTTTTCTCCATGAAAGCATTTTGCAGCAATTAAAGTTAGTGCAAGGTCAGTTAATATGGTGGGTGGGATAGAATAAATTGAGTTCCAAAATATTTTTCTGTGTTATTCTTGTTGTATGTGGCTGTGTATTGTCGTGAAGAACATCTTTCCTATTAATAAGTGCAGGTTGCTTTTCAACCAAACTTTTATGGACATGTAACTGTTGGATTTATAAATGTACATTTCGTGTTCCATTGCATTTTAATGTACTGAATGAATAATACTATGATTATCCCACCACATGCAAATTGCTTTCTGTGGAGCTTTTGGTGTCAGTTGTGGAGATTTGTCCTTTTCAATCCACTGTCATTTGTGTTGAACATTGTTGTATGAAACCTATTTTTCATCACCTGCCATGATATATTTAAATTATTAAACGGTTCTTTCACTTTTTTATTTTATTTAGGTAGCTCTTACTTGGGATGAGACAGACAAGAAGCGCTTGGAGACAACAACAAAAAACTACAATAAGAAACATGAGATTAAATTAGAAGATTTCAAAGATTATTTAGCATTAAGTTCTGAAGAGGAAGATGATGAAAATAAGGAAGGTACATAAAATGAAATTAGAATTTTTTATCTAAAAAGTTTATAAAAAAAAAATCAGTCTTTATATTACAGCTTCATATGCATATTTGCACACACACACACAGAGTGCGGTGCATAATTATAAGGCCAGCTGAATTTAATCTTTAAACTTTAGCAATTGAGATAATTTTTTAATATTTTGTATATTATTATATAATATTAATAATCCAAAAGTTTCAAATAATTGTTATGAGTAGAAAATCACTTATTGTAAAATTATTCAAAGACTCGAAAAATGATTGGTGCATAATTATAAGGCCAATTTTTAAAAAAAGAAGAGCACTGCAAGTTAAAATAATTTAAATCAACAATCACTTAAAATTTTATAAATTATTAATAACTCGGCAGGATTTGCACATAACAAAATTGACATAAACTATGCCTTTGGGTACAAAATTAAGTGAATTTGAAAAAGGTCAAATAATCGCACTCCAAAATGAAAATCGAGTAGTAGAGAAATTGCTGTTAGGATTAAGCATTCAAAAATGGTTATTACCTATTTTTGATCAAACACGGAAGAATATGAAGCCAGGAAAAGAATTGGAAGAAGCAAGAAATTAAGGTATGTCAGAACGATCAAAAAAGAAGCAATCAATGCCGTCACATGGTGTTCCAAGATCCAGGCAACTCTGGAATTGGGTGTTTCATGCTGGACGGTTTGGAGAGAACTTAACAGATCATCTGAGTTCAGTTATGGCAAGCTTATGAACGCTCCATTTTTGACCAAGCATCATATGTCAGAGTGCTTCAATTGGATCAGGACAAGCAATGGGAAGGTGTGGCATTTTCTGATCCAAAAAAATTTAATTTGGATGGTCTGGATGGGTTATTGTTGTAGAGTGGTTTCACAGTGGGGGCTTGTATTTGTACTAAGTCGGTCCTAAAATAGGTTTGATGTACAAAACATTAGGGACTTGATATAATAGGTAATGACGCAGAGAAATCTAGTGGTGGTCGCTGTATAGGTGGGAGAGTCTATTAACTATAGAATAGGTGTGTTCCACTATAACATCCCCCCCACTAAAACTTTACTCTGTAGGAGTAAGCAGTTTTCTTTCTTTATTTATTTATTTTTTTTTTTTTTTTTAGCAACATCGTAGCATATCTCCTATGTTTTTTGATCCACTTTTAAATGATCAGTTGCCTTTCTTTTTTCTTCTGGATCGGCGTTTTTTCCAAGGGACCGCTGTCAACCACGTCTGAAAAACGTCTGATCTGGTTACTGCACGTGAATTTTTCCCCTTTCACCAAGTACATCAATCCGCTTTTCTATTTTTTTTTTTTTTTTATACCTCCATAGTGTTACCAGAAGCAACCTTCCTTTGAGCTTCTTAAGGATGGAGTCACAGTTTCTGTAGGTTCTTGTGGTTCTATTTGTTCAGCCTCTAGCTTTACTTCTGTTGATCTTGTTCTTCTTAACATTTCCTGGGGTGACTTCAGTTGACTTAAATCATTTAATAATACTGCATGTCCTTGGCTGCGGGTAATTCACTCTGTAGTTTTTCTCGGTGTCGGCTTCATCTTTACTTTCTGGAGCTTGTTTTTCACGTATATTGTCGGTGTTACCTACTCAACTTTTTTAAATGCACCAGTTTTCTCTAATCTGTCCAATTCTTTATCTATCTGTTCAATTGAAGCAAACAGCACATACCTTTTCTTTTTGAATACCGCCTGAGCATTTTCTTTTAGCTGGAATTTTGCCTCCATCTTGGTACATGTTCCCAAACCTGGATAAAAAACAGTAGGAAATGTTTCCTTAAGTTTCCTTACTAAATTTTGGGCTTCTGAGTTTAAACTTTCAACCTCGTAACAGAAAGAATTTATCAGTAGATCCCATAATTGAAATTCTGTTGTCTAATTCGTACCAAGTAAGTTTGGTATTTTCTATGACAAATAGTTTAACTCTTCGCATTTTTTTTATTTAACGTGATGTTTGTAACAAATTCGCCAATAAATTGTATTTTTTCTTCCGTCACTGACCTCGCGATTTTATTTTTCTTCATTAAAGTTGGTTTCCCCAACTTCTTCCACGTATGCAAATTTATGATAGATAGGTCGGAACCAGTGTCGAGTTGCATTTTTATTTTTTTATTACTTATTTCGACGGTAACAAATTTTCTGGTTATTCCATCATTCACCTCGTCGGACTTTAATTTTCTTATTTTATTGTCTTTATTTTTTGACCTGCAGTGCGAGCTTTTATGACCCACTCTTTTACAGTTGAAACATTTTTTATTCATAAAATCGCAATATCTGTACCAGTGTAGTTCACTGCAAACAAAACATGGCTTCGGGAGTTATTGTTTATTTTTCTCTGGTATTTCACTTTTTGTTTGATAATCTGCAATTTTAGAATTCTTTTTGGTAGACTGACTTTCTTTTTTGTAGCGTATTTTCCTTACATGCGAAACGCCAGACTGTTCTATCTTTTTCGAATCTTTCTTTATGCTAACATATCTTGTGCAGTCTTCTGCCAACTTCTATATTGTAATTCTTGGTTCGTTTTCCAATTTTGACAGCACTAATTTTCTCAACTCTGCGTCTCTTTCTGATACCAGCCCTTGAACAAACACTAAGCACTTAAAATTGTCAGCACTTTGCTAGCTTGAATTCTTCACAATGCTTATTCATATTGGCTGCGTACGTTATATAGTCTTGTTCGTCATCCTTCATCAGATTCAAACATTTCCTCCTATTTTTACTAAATAATTCACTTGATATATTTACCGCCTCGGTAAATGTCAACTTGCTAGTTTTTTTTGGTAAAATGTAGTTTACCAATTTGTTATACTCAGCAGTTCCTAACTTGCTTAAAAGAAGTCTAACCTTCTTTCCTTCAGACCACGAGTGGCAGTCCTCGTTATACACGTCCGTATATTTTTTATAATACTCTTCAAAAGTTATCTCTTCATCTGGACTGTAAGTGAATATTTCAATTGAATTCCATATTGTATTCTCTGGAAAAGAATCATTTTGTAGATTTTTCTCTTTCCTCTTCTCAGTTATTTCCAGAATTTTGTTTTGAAACTCCTTATGCATCTGTTCCATTTCATGTTGAAACTGCATTTGTCTATTAAAAGTTTCCTCCTGTAGTTGCATGTGGAATGTTTTCTGTTGCTCTAATATTGTCATCTGTTGTTCTGTCTGGAACTTAAAAAATTCCTGGAATATATTTTTGCATTCCTCCATCTTCGCAAAAGTTTACACAATGCTTAAATATTGTAGAGGGGGGTCCTATGAATTTGCAAACTGTCTTATTGAGAAAAAAAAAAAATTCTTTTCTCAGTTGAGAATATGACTGATTTTTTCGTCAACAAGTTGACATCTTGTCTTTTGAAAAACTTTGCCAAGTTTTTTTTTGTTTTTTTTTAAATGTGAATCCAAGATTTTGTCGGCAAAATAATTGTGACAAGCAAGTTTTTTCTTTTCCCTCCGTACGAGTACAAATTTCGTCATCAAATAATGTTGTGGCGATTTTTTTCTTCCATCGTATGACTCCGAATCCCTTCGCCAAATAATACTGTGGCAAACGCAATTTTTTTTTTCCATATGAGTACGAATACTCATGGCCAAATTTGTTATGGCAGGTGAATTTTTTTTTTCTCTTCCACCATATGAATCTGAATACCTTGTACGCCAAATGTGTTATGGCGAACAAATTTTTTTTTTCCTCTGTATGAGTTTGAATCGTCGCCAAATAATTGTTGTGGAGTATGAATGTTTTTCTTCCTCCGTATGAATCCGAATACCTCGTTGCCAAGTGTTGTAGAGTGGTTTCACAGTGGGGGCTTGTATTTGTACTAAGTCGGTCCTAAAATAGGTTCGACTTACAAAACGTTAGGAACTTGATATAATAGGTAATGACGCAGAGAAATCTAGTGGTGGTCGCTGGTACTTTTAGTATCCGACTAACGGTCGTCTGGCATCAACTCACTGAGCGACTTTTCGTTACTCTTACTACTCCTACTTATTATAGGTGGGAGAGTCTATTAACTAATAGAATAGCTGTGTTCCACTATAACAGTTATCTTATTATTGGCATGACCTTAGAAAGGAGAAGTTGGGTTTTTCCAAGTCTGTGCAAGGAGGAGGGAGTGTCATGATTTGGGCGGCATTCGGATTCAAAGGCAGTACTCCATTTGTTTTCATTGACACAAGACTTGATGCTTTGGGTTATCAGAATTAGTTGTCTACTGGCTCTCTTGCCTTATGGAAAGAAATTGGTGGTTGAAATTGGGTGTTTCAGCAACACAACGCTCCTGTTCACAAAGACAAGTCCACTGTTGAGTATTTTCAAGCTAACTGAATCATTGTTATGGATTGGCCTGCCAGGCCACTCAATCTCAATGCTATCGCAAACCTTGGTTAGACAAGTATACAAGAATGGGCATCAATTAAATAACAAGGAAGAGCTCAAAAGTGAAATTATGAAAGCCTGGGATTCAATTAACGAAAATGACATTCAGAAGTTAATCTATTCTATGCAAAATAGAGTGTTTGAAGTAATAGCCAATCATGGAAAACAAACTAAATATTAATTTCTATAAAAATTTAGTGTTTGTCATTTTTGTGATAAAATTTTTTAATGGCCTTATAATTATGCGCCAATCATTTTTTGAGTTTTTGACTAATTTTACAGTAACTCATAGTAATTATTTGAAACTTTCAGATTACTAATACTATATAATTATATACAAAATATTAAAAAATTAGCTCAATTGCTAAAGTTTAAAGATGAAATTCAGCTGGCTTTATAATTATGCACCACACTATATATATGAATATTTGTGTTGATTCAATTCATTATATAAATAGTGAAGGATAAAGTTTGATAGTCTATTCTAAAATCTTGATACTAAATGAACTGTTCACTTTCACTTTTCTTTGGTACCTATTTTCTTGTTCATAGTAAAATACATTTAAAAAAATCTACTCTTCTCAAATAAAATGTGAAAGGTGGAAACTGATATCAAAATGATAGGTGAAAAGTATTTTACAAAAAAGGTATTGGCTTAAAAAGTTTAATTATGGTATCTTGTGATATTACATAAAATTAAACAAATTGTTATAGATATTAACTAATACAGTGTATTCAAAATGATGATTGTGATGCATTGCATCTGTGAAATTTGTAATAATTTTTGAGAGAGTAATGCTGTTGGATGCAATATTCACAGCCAAAATTTTAAAAAGCAGACTATGCAAGTTTGAATAAATCAACACCTGAGTTAGTGTAAGGCTTGTTTATCACAATATAATTATTATGAGTTGATAGTTCTTAAAACTGAGTTAATTCAGTTTATGATTTTTTTGTTTTCATTTTGTTGTTCTAATTATAAATCCTTTAAGAATTTCTTTTTCTGTCCAGAGTCTAATGCTTCTTTGATTTCCAACTCTGATGTTGAATGTAATGATGAAAAGGATGCAAGTAGTGAAGATGAGGACAAATTGCACATTAACAAATACAAAAAATTGCTTGAAGGAATTGAAGAGACTGAAAGAAAGAAAGAAGAAAAACAGATAGAAGTCACTTGGGACATTGGTAAGATTTTTTATCCTCCATACACAAACTTAAATTTAATTAAAAGAACTGTAGACGTACAAAATAATTTTCTATAAGATTAACTTAAAAAATTGCTTATTGCCAATATTCTTGTAAAGCAGTCTTCCTCCTCTTTATTGATGACTTGTTTAATTCCATGTTTCCATTTTCTATTGCTCCAATCTTTGTTCTTTATAATTTGTGGACCTAAATTAGAAGATTTTTATTCTTAATTTTGTATACCATTGAGCACTCATTTTTTAAAAATAAAATGACTGATCAATTATTCTGTTGCTGAGGTGAAGAGTGGGGGGGGTGACAAACTTTTCTTGCAGTCTGTATTAATAAATCAATGTAGATTGATTTATTTTCTCAATAACTGATTTTATAAAGAAAATAAAAATCAATTAAAAATATTTAAAGGAAAACTGATTGTGGCGATGTAAGTTAGGGATCTTGTCAGTAAGTGGACTAATCCTTAAGAGAGAGCCAATGGTTGGGAACTCAACTGTAGGATGCATGATTTCCTGTTTCTGGCCTGCAGCATTTCTCCCTCAGCACATAATCACCCTTTTGTGTCCTTGAGTTTGTTATAAGTAATAATTAAATTATTTTTATTGCTAACAATCATAAGACTAAGAAAATCAGGAAAGCAACAAGTGGTTTACTTGACAAGTTTGGACAAAGATATGGAGGAACAAATATCACAAAGGCAAAAATGGGTTTTAAAAGAGCAAGTATTATTTAGAGGAAACTGGAGGACCATGAATGCCTATGTCACATAAAGATTTTTCAATTAAATGATGATAAATTAACTTTTTAGTTACAAATGATGAGAAAATTTTGTTTGGACAATTTTTTTCATTTTTTTTTATTCCCATTTTCATTCATTGGGTGGTTTGGTGATTTTTTTCTAAGCATAGATTAGATGTGGCACAAGGTCAAAAGTATGAGGCACCCAGTGAAGATCAAACTCACTATTCAGGTGTAATTAATTGGTTTGTTATGGTGAGATTTCAAAAATCTATTAAACCCAACTGAAAAACTTTCTTGTAAAAAAAAAAAAAAAAAATTCCAGTAAGATAAGAAATACAAATCTTCCATCATTAACAAATAGTTCTATGGAAAAGTCTTTTAGTGTTTATTATCTATAGTAGAAGATGGAAAACTATAATATAACATGTATTTTGTTAACCTGTTCACAGAAAATTCATACCATCTGATATTCTGAGAGTGGGAACTAAATTTGTACGAAATAAATGTGAATTGCCTATGATTTGTTTTTTGTTGTTGTTTTTGCATCTATTTGTGATATCCATAAATGAATGATATTTGTTAAACATTAAATAGATTTTCCTTTTATATTATGTATATAATTCTGCTTGAAAATTAAAAATGTTGAACAATATTTTATGTTTAAAAATATACATATTTTAGCTCTAGTCTTACTAAAAGCAACTAAAATAATGTTGATGCATTTAAAGTTTGAAAAATAAATTTATTGAAATAACATTTTGAAGAGGTCAGCAACTTAAATTTAGTCTTTTTTATTTAAGTTTCAATTTATTAGGAAATTACTTTTGTCATTTATTTTCAATCTCTCTCCGTATTTTATCATCCTTTTTTTTTCCTTTAATTTTAGGTTTGAAGGAGAAAACAGAAAAAGTTCTTAAAAATAAAGAAAAGAAGAACTCTTCACCTTGGAATGAGTTTTTGGTCAAACTGAAGGAAAAGCAAAAGAGACGGAAGGCCAAAATAAAGGTATTCTTACAATTTTCTATAAGAATTGGCAAATTCTCACACCTGATGTATAAAATACTCATTGCTGCAATAAAACATGCAAATGTTTTTATAATATAACATCTCATAAAAATGTTATCTTATAAAAATATTTGATTTTTTTATATTGAAAAAGTGTTTATATTGAAATAGTAATGATCTTTGCACTTAAATTTAATAACAATTATCCATTTATTTAGATGATTAACAAAACGTCTGGTTCAGATTTTCTTGGGCCAGAAAAAATTTAAAACATACAATTAAAACTACAGAAAACTTCATTTGTGTGTGAGTGTGTGTTTTCTCACAGCATATTGTCCTTTGCAGGCTTTGAAGAAGAGTGCAGACCAAAATGATACAAAACAATCATTCAGTGATGATGAAATTCCCTCAGATATTGACTTCAATGATCCATACTTCAGTAGTGAATTGTTATCAGCTTCAAAGAAAAGTAAGTTTCTTATATTTTTCATTAATCATAAAATGAGAGAGAGAGAAGCACTAAATATAAGAAAAAAAAGATTGGGTATAGGAAAGATAAATTATATTTTAACAGTACTGGCTGATGCTGCATAATCAGCAGCTGATGGATTTGCTTGATTATGGAAGGTGGATGATTAGAGGAAGTGTGTACTGTTTATATCTGTATATGCTTTTCCTGCATAAATATAGCAAATTTTAATCAATATAAATTTGATATAAATATGACAACATACTTAAAAGAAGCCTCCCCTTGCCAAAAAAAGAAAAAAATCCAACATTTGAAAGTGGGGTTGAGAACTTTTTTGCACACCATCTTTTTATTTATACACACTTCAAGTTTTTGTCTGAATTTCTGGGATGGGGAATTATTATTATTTACAGTTTGACTATTGTCCTAAAACCTTCAGGTAATTATTTAATCTACATAGATTGATCACATTCCATATAAAGAGAGAGATTTATATTTTTTGAATATTTATATATATTGACAATTGCCTCTTCTTGAAATTTAGACTTGTGAGCTTTTGTTCGATTTATAGTCTTTTCATTGTCGAATTGCATTTTCTTTTTGGTTTAATTTTTGCTTTTGCTATTGTATTTCTATTTTTTCTTTTATAGCAACTGTTTGACCATCATTCTTGGGTTGTAATAAAAATCAGCAGAAATAGGATAAAACATACTTGTCAAAAATTAATAATTGACAAATTCCAAATAACATTACAATTAATACTACTAAAGTATGTAAATCAGGTGCTTGCATGGAAAATAAAGAATGGTTAGATTTGAGTTTCTGTAATTGATAGTCTTTGTGACCTAATTGGAATGTCAACTGACATGGACAGCTTTCTTGGGAAATTTCACTAGTGAGTTATTCTTTATTTCCAGTTCATCATATTTTTTATTGCTGGTGGTATATTGGCCCGGAAACAGATATTGAATGATGGAAGGCAACAACAAACAAAACAAAGACTTGAGTTAAAAAAAAAATAAATATATTGCCAAGTTTATTTTCATTAAAAACAGATACCTCAACAAAAATAAGGTTACAGTGCACTAGGCAAAAAGTATTTCTGCATACTCATGTAGAGGGTGAGAAGTGTGTTGTCCTGAAAAGTACGGTTTTGTAGTCACTGGAGAGCATTGTCCTGAAAAGGACAGTTAATTTTAGAGTTTCTTGCCTCTTTTATACATTACATAATCACACAAAAATCCTTTTAAGTAACATATTCCCCTTGGAATGGAATCTTTACTTTATATGCAGATAATTCCATCTATATTTTATGCTATCATCTCCAAACTATATTACTCCAAGGATAGTGGACTTGACAGTATCCCTGCAATTGTCCTAATGATATGTGCTCCTGAACTGGCTCCTGTTCTCTCCAAATTCTACAACAAATGATTTGCTGCTTCTTGCATTCCAGCTCCTTGGAAATCTTCTGTAGTTCCTGTTTTTAAGAACTCTGGTGAACCTTCTGATTCCTTGAATTATCATTTTATTAGTCTTTCTGTTTGAAAATTAAAAATATTTTTGGTAAAGTACTAGAAGCCCTACTCAACTCTGAATTGGTTAAGCATCTCACTTCACACAACCTCTTTCAGATAAACAATATGGCTTTCATTTCTCTAGATCAACTGCTGCTGTGTTAACAGTTATTACTGAATTTGTCTATACAGCAAGATTCATACTGTGACTTTAGATATCTCAAAGTTGTTTGATAGTATTTGGAAAGCTGACCTTCTCGACAAGCTCAAGGGCTATGGTGTCCTTGGCCAGATATTTGACTTAATCCAGTTATTTTTTTTTTTTTTTAGCAAATTCTGTTTGTTTTTAAATGGCCATGCTTCTAGATAATTTCTTATTAATGGGTGGATCCCCCAGAACTCTTTTCTTGGACCTACATTGTTTCTTATCTTCAACAACCACCTTCCTCATGTCATCAGTTCCCAACTAGGTATTTATGCTGATAACACAATTATTTACTTCTGTTTTAAATAGTAAGTCTGAGTCAGACAAAGTAAAACTGGCAGTTGCCCTTGAAAATGACCTCCAATTAGTCGTTTGTCCTGGGTATGATGATAAACTACATCCAGCAGCAAGGCCTCTGATCAGGAGGTTTTGACAAGCTCAGAACCACTTGCTGTTGTTCCCAGGTCCAACCAGACTTGGGGTGGTAACACCTGTTAGGGTCACAGCTATGGGCAAATAGTTAACCCCCAAACTGGGGTCAAAACAGTATGAAAGTATAAAAATAAATTTTTATGGTAAAAATACCAGCAATAATCTTTGCAAAAAAAAAAAGAAAATTACCAGCAATATATTTGACTCTTGACTAAAAACCTCTTTACAAAAATACATCAATGAAACCTGATCTACAAACTGATTTCTTACAAAAATACATATTCTATTCATATGAACTTATCCTAAAAATCTTGTTGGTATTAAATAACCCATTGAGGTTGATATGCAAAATAAGCCAAAAATCCATTTAGTTGTTAACTGAGGCAAGAAATAGCTTGTAAATTTTAACACCACCAAAACAAAATTGCTAATTTTTAATCATCATAAAAAAACAATTTTTGCCTTCCAGGAGAGCAGGAAAGTTGCTTCATTGTGTTGTGCCAGACAATTTTACTCATCAGAATCCATCTTGGTCATTTATGAATTTACCATTCATCCATGCATTGAATATTGCTGACATATCTGGCCTGGTGCTCCTGCTATATATCTGGAGATTCTTGACAAAATCAAAGAAGGATCTGTAATGTTAATGGTCCTTACCTGGCATCTTGACTTTCCTAATGCAATGGTGTGCTATCCCTCTGACAGTTGTTCTAATGAGCTCTCCTCCTCAGGATCTTGACCAAATGAATTTAAGCATACTATTAGTTTGGCAACTAGTTGCTATCATTTTACTGTTAAAATAACTAGATATATACATCAGTTCTATCCTAATAATTTCTTTTCTTGTGTGGAACTCTTCTGGCTTCCTTAAAAATTTAAATGCAATGTCAATTGCCATCTTCTGTCTTCATGAATTCTGTTCTTTTATTGTCCTTTTTCTTTATTAAATTCTCTTTCATTTCCAGTAACCCTCTCTAGTGACATTATCTCCTTGCTTTGAGTAAAATGATTAAAAAATAAAAACTATAACTGCTTTTAAGGTCTAATGACTTTCTTCATTTAAACTCATTCACATTTGAAATTATTGAAAGTCTAAATAAAGTTTGTGTAATAGAAATATAAAAGATTTTGATTTTAGATATTTCTTACTATTGTTCTTTTAAATGATTCCTTAAAATGTTATTTTATTTGTTCTTTGACTATTTTTGTTAACAGAATCCAAGACACAAAAGAAGAAAGAAAAGAAATTACAAAAAGAAGCAGAACATTCAAATTTGACCCCAGAGGAAATAGAACAGAAAAAACAAGAAATGGTAAAAAGAAAAATATTTTTTCTATCATTGTCTTGAAAACTCATCTTGTTTAGATTGCACATTCATAAAAATTAACAAATATCATTTCACAGCTATTTACTCTTTTCTACAAAATAACCCTTAAGAAAATCATTTTTAGTTTAGCTGGTTTACACAAAAATTTTAGTTTTTTTTTATTTATTTATTTTATTTTTTATTTATTTTTTTTTTTTTTAATAATATTAATTTGTTCATCAGACCTTTCTTAAGTACTACACAAAGTAATATTTTTTAGGAGTGGGGCAAAAATGAACAACTCATGATTAACTGATATTTTCTTTGGATGTAACTATCCCATTCTGATTAAATAATTAAACATTCATTTATCTACATTTTACATGTTTTTTTTCCCTTCAGGCTGAGCTTGCTTTATTGATGGCTGATGAGGATGATGTGAATCAGAAACACCATTTTGATTATGAGAAAATCATCAAACAAGAAAGCAAAATAAAACCAAAGAAAAAAGTAAAGGCTGCAAAAGTAAAAGACCATGATGACTTTAAGGTCAGTTCCTCATCTTCTTACTTGAGATTTTCTCTTTTAATTTACTGCATATCAAAAATACTATTAATTTGGATGGATATATATAACTTTTATACAAGAGAGAGAGAGAGAAATATGTGTGGAAATAGATTAGGTGCATGCAAGAATTCTTGGCACCCTCTATTTTAAAATCTATAGACTTGAATACACAGTTGAAAACAAGTTTTGATTTTTCTGTATTCAATGTTTATCCTGATTTTATTTGTGTAGGGACAAGATGATTTTGTTGGACATTATTTGTTGATAATGCTTAAGCGTACATTGATTTGTTAACCATAATGAATTTTGGATGGAAAATTCTGTGACATGTGGCACATTCAGTAGACTTGTCAGTGGATAATCATTTCTTTTGATTTCTACAGCTTTCTATATTACATTAAAAATTTAAAATTGACATCTGTTTTGAAGCTGGAATCATTTTATCAAGATAGAATTCAGAAACTTTTAGAATGTTGGCATAGAAAATTATAGAAAATCAAGGAAAATATTTTGAAGAAATAAATATATGTTCTACTTATTCATTAACAAATTTAAATAAAAAAATTCTGAAAACTTAGCATATATGTAACATATACGAGAGGGTGTTAGAAAGATTTCAATCAAACTGAGAAGTAATCTCCTCTGTAGTCTGATGTTTGTTCATCTATCCTTTTACATATTTGTGAGTATGTGTGTATATGCACACACACAGACAACTGTAAATGTAAATGGGTATATATAAGGAAAGAAAATTGAATGTATTGTAGACAGCATATTGTTTTAAAAGTGTCATTATATTTTGTTTGAAAATTAAATCCAATTCAGTAAAATACAGTAAGTTATGTGAACAACCTGTAATATGAAATTTCTTTTTCTGTCTCACACTCTTCTGATAATGACTCATGGAAGTTGAAAACTTGGAACTAATACAAGATTTTTTTTTATTTTTTGACATCCATAACAAGCACATTTGCACAAAGATATTTGTATTGTAGAAAAAAATGATTATTAATTTAAGACATAAAATGTTTATTCCTTTTAATAAGAATTGTTTGCAAGAATAATTGATGCCAAGATATACTCTCTCCCTCTATATATATATATATATATATATATATATATATATATATAAACACACATACAGTACAGGTAATAGATCCAGGTGGATCCTAGTAATATCAAATATTAAAACTGATCCATAGAGAGATCAATGTGTTTATTCTGACAACATATATATATTTTACAACAAAAACCAAAATTACCTCACATATATATATATACAGTGTGTGTGTGTGTATATATATATATATATATATATATATATATATGAAAATTTCTCTGATTTAACCAGTAGAGAAGACAATATTTATGAATAAAAATGACAATAGGAAAACTAGTAATTGCTGACGTGTTTCGTCCAATGTGGACTTTATCAAAGCAAAATACGAAAATGAAATTAATTGAACAAAGTAACTAATAAAAACAGAATGTTCCTAGCAACTGGAATGTAGAGAAACGCTATTTTCACATTTCTAACTGAAAATAACGTCAGTATTTGTCATGTGTGGAGAATATTGTCATTATATCTGTGTTGATGTATTCAACCATTTTCTTTTGATTTTATGAATCTGTTGTGTATATTTGTTTGTAAGAGCATTAATTTTGTTAAGAAAGTTGAAATGGGGGAAAAACCTGGGCGTAGATTAATATTTGGGTAATTTTCTATGGTGGCACTCTCCAGAATTTTCCTTCTGAGTGAGTTATTTTCTTTTTTTATGAGTGTAGCAAATTTAAAATCAAAATTATGGTTGAATTTAATACTATGTATGACTAGTGCATTAGCTAAGTTGTTTTTTGTGAGGTCTCTTTTGTGCTCATGAATGCCTTTTTTCAAACTTCTACTTGTTTCTCCAATATATTGGGAGGAACAGTTTTGGCAATTTATTTTATAAATGCCTGCTTCAGAAATATTATTGCTATTAATGTTTGAAGATCTTAGTATATCTATAATGGTTTTGGAAGTGTTTGTGACTATTTCAAGATTTTTTAGATGGGATAGGTTATTCTGGATAGTGGACGTGACAGAAATGGTCGGTAGTATTATGTATCTGTTTTCATGTGATTTACTATTGTGGATTATGTTATTAGTTTTGTTTCGTTTGTATATTCTATATGCCTCTCTTCTTGCATTGTGGATGAAATGATATGGGTATTGTGGGTTTTTGAATGTGTTTTCTATGTAGGTTTCTTCTTTAAATAAATATTGGGGACTACAGATTCTTAATGCTCTTAGATAGAAACCTATAATAATTACAGATTTAATTTTTTTTTAATTGGTTTGAGTAAATCTGATGAGATCATTTTGTTTTTAGCCTTTCTGTAAACGTCAAAATTGAGTTCATTATTATTTCTAATTAACAAAATGTCCAGGAACGGAAGAGTGTAGTTGGTTTCAGTTTTCAAAGTGAAGTTTATTGTAGGTTCAATGTTGTTAAGTTTTTGGAGAGAAGATCCATTAAATAATTCCCCAAAAAGTATATATGTACGTGTGTGTGTGAGTGTGTGTATATATATATATATATATCAGGTCATCCCATAAATTCTGTCTGAATTTTGAACATTTAATTACAAATTCAATCAACAATATATTTTCCCTGATTATCTATGACTTCCTTCCATCTATTAACAAGCTTACTAATTCCATTACTGTAAAATTCTTTTGGCTTTGATTCAAAGAACTCACAAATGTCAGTTTTAACCTCTTCCTGTGTTACAAAAGCTGTTTCTTCCAAATGATTCTGTAAGCTACGAAACAAATGGTAGTCTGAAGCAGCAAGATCGGGAGAATAAGGTGGATGAGGAATTTTCTTCCAACCAAGTTATTCGATCTTTGTGACGTGATTCTTGCTGTGTGGAGCCGCGCATTGTCCTGATGAAACATCACCTCTTTTCGATTCACTAGAGCAGGTCTTTTTTTTTCCCCAAAGCTGGGTTCAAATGCTCTAATAGCTGACACTATATTTGAGCATTAATTGTTGCATTAGGTGGTAAGAATTCAAAGTGGATTATTCCTTGGCAATCTCACCAGATTGAAAGAAGAACCTTTTGCCCATGAAGTTCCCTTCTCGGCTGTGGCCGGGGTCCTTCCCTTTACCAAGCCACTGTCTACAATGCTTAACATTTTGATAAAAGATCCATTTTTCGTTGCCAGTCACAAGTCTATCCAAGAAAGGTGAAACAAGTTGGCGAGAATGGAGAGAAGAGCAGATTTCAACTTGGGATTTGAGGTTGTTTTCAGACAATTCATGAGGCACCCATTTTCCAAGTTTAGGAACTTTTGCAAGTTGTTGAAGATGATGATGAACAGTTGTATGGTTTGAACTGAGAAGCACTGCCAATTCCTCAACTGATAAAGCAGTATTTTCTTCAAGGTCTGCTTCAAGAAGCTTTTCATCAAACTCAACTGGACGTCTGGTTCGATCTTCATCTTCAAGGGTGCAATCTCCACCTCTGAATTTTGCAAACCATCTTCTGCAAGTTCTTTCATTCACACATTCCTCTCCATAAACTGAGTGATTGTTTCTAGCCGCTTCGGCTGCTGAGTTTCCTTTCTTGAACTCATAAAGCATTATGTGCCTCAAATGATTCTTAGGTACTCCCATGTTAGCAGGGTTTTAATCAAACAAAATTTAATTTTATTGTTCTCTAAAATAAAATTTGATCAGTTTAAATGCATCTAAACATAAAAATAATGTTCAGCTTCATTAGACATTATAAAATACTCTTTAAATTTCATTCATTTTAGCAAAAAGTTAAAATTTGGAGAGAACTTATGGTATGACCTGATATATATATATATATATATATATATATATATATATATATTACGTGTGTGTATATGTATGTATATATCTACGTGTGTGTATATATATATATTACAATAATTCATAAGAACTAATCATTTCCCCACTCTATATACATGTACTATATACATACATAATGCATTTTTAAAGTATGTAATTTAAAAGTTAAAATAAATTAAGCATCTTGGTAATTAATGGATGAGTATTTTTTTTATGAACTTGACTCTGATTGTTATTTATTTTTTCTTTCTTTTATTTTTCAGCTTGATTTGAATGATGATCGTTTCAGTGCAATTTATACATCCAGTCTATTCAATATTGATAAATCTGCTGCTGAATACAAAAAGAGTGCTGCAATGGAAGCACTGATTGAGGAAAAACTACGTCGACGATACATTGCAAAAGAATGTTTAGAAAAGGATAAACTGATAGAAAATTCCAAACCAGGAATAGTACCAACAAGATCATTGCTTAATAGAACTGTTTCTTCTCAAACATCTAAAAACATTGATCAATCAGTAAACAGTCTTGTCCATTCTATCAAGACAAAGACAAAAAATTTTAATTTTTCCAAAACAAAGCCAAACATAAAAAATACCATCTGGAAAAAATTGCCACAAAATTTGTGATAAAATATTTACAACATAGAAATTTAATGAAATCTGTGAATAAATTTTAACAAAATACATTTTTGTTTGTTGAATTTTGAATTGACGTTTGAATTTAGTTATGTCTTTCTTTTCTAATTTAACAGAGATTTTGAATATATGTTATTTTCTGCACAATACCAAATGCAAAGCCTACAAAATCCACAGAAGAAAAAAGACAAAAACTCACTAATAATAGTAACACTGACAACTTTAACAAAATCAAACACATAATACTACTAACTCCATAACAGCCACCATTGGGAAAAAATAAAACTGTCCAACCTTGAGATAAAATTCATCAGCACCACCTCTAAAACAATAAGAGTTATAGTTAATATCAAACAAGCAATAAAAACAGAACAAAGGCAAGGATAAACAAAATAGACTGTACAAAATGCCCATTAATGAACATCTGGAAACCTCAAAAAAGATTATATGAACTGCATAATAACAATCTAAATGCATTGGTGGTTCACCATAATACATTTGACCACAGTTTTGATTTAAAAAATGTCAGTCTAATCCAGATAAAACAGAATTCACTGAGAAGAAAATGCATTGATAATGAGCTAATCCCACAATTCTGAATAGTGAATCTAAGACCAGGAACATACATTATTTCACTGATTATTACAAAAACAATAATAGCATATTACAGAATACAAGTTGGTAGAGAAAAGGGACCTACTGGAAGTTGAATGATTTAAAATCTACAAACCCCAGCGGCTCTAATATGTAGGTATATGTGTATGTATGTATGTGCACATGTATTATGGGTATGTGTGTGTGTGTGTCCATGTCTATATATGTAAGCAAGCAGACCCACAATTTCAGAAAAAACAATGTACCCTATAAACTATATATTTAAAAGGAAAAAAAAGGCTCTTATACATATATGGTTGTGTGTGTGTGTACAAATGTATATGAGGGTGCACTTGTACATATATGGGTATATATAGTGGTATGTATGAGTATGTGTATATAGGTGTGTACATACATACATACATACATATATATATATATATATATATATATATATATATATATGTGAACAAAGCCTCTGATGTGTATATGCATGTGTGTTCACAGGTATATTTGCTGGGCATGTATATGTATACAAAAAATAAAAATGGGCCCTGGATGTATGTATATGTAGGCACACACATGTAAGAATGTATTGTGCATGTATGTAGGTATGTATGTGTATACAAAAAATAATAAAATGTCCCTGAATTAAAATCTTACAATACCTAATAGCTCTGATACAGATATATATATATATATAAAACAAACCAGCACAAATATACAGACTCTCTCCCAGCATGCTTTCCAGCCAACTTTAATCTGCAAAAATTTATATGCAATGTCAATTGCTATGTACTGTCCTCCTGATTGCTCATTACTAAGGTTTCTGTTCCTAATTCCTCCACATCCTGTAACTTCTTGTATGCTAGTGGCTGTACTGCCTTGTTTGGGGGTGATTCTGATTTTAAATAAAAAGAAATTCACTATTTTGGAACTAAATATTCATCTAATTTCTCAGTGCTGAAAATTTAAAAACAGTGAAAAAATAAAAATAATGTTTACTTGGTAAAAATGAATACAAAATTCAATTTAGTATTTTTGTAGGAAACTGATGAGGTTTATGTTGTGGTCAAACAATTCACACTAGCTGACTTTAACAAAGCATATAGGAGCCAATTAATGTGTTTATTGTTTAACGTGAAATAAGAATATGGAAATTTATTTCTCATAAAAATAACTCAGTTGGTAATCTGTAAGATTCTGTATGAAATAACGATTTTGATGACATCATAAACATGAGAATTTCGCAAATTCCAAGGAAAGTTGCAAAAGTAAAAATAACTGATAAGATGTTATGTGTGTCTGAATATTTCAAATTTAATCTAAGACATAAAATAATCTCTCCTGAAATACTTTGAATACAAACATTTTTATAACAAGTGTTAAATTTATTTTTTTAAATATGAAAATCAAAAAAAGTTAAAGATAAACTTTTATCAATTGAATTAAAATACCCATTTTTTACTCTATTTAAAATTAAAAACGATTAAAATGTTTTTTTTTCCAATTCTTTCCTCAACTGAAGTTCACTGAAAGACTTACAAGCAAGTAAAATCAAATGAAATAAATTTACCAAAAAATCATTTTTGCTCTATCTCAAAATTAGATAGCAAAAAATTTTACAAATTCCTACAGAGTCAGGGGACTGTTTATTTTTACAAGCTATTCTCCCAATTTACATTGATTCTTATGAAAGTGTCTAAACCCAAAATCTAGTTGAAGGTACTTTTGTGGGAAGATAACATCTATCAGTGTCATTCGCCCAAGACAAATGTCTATATAAGCCAGAACCTGCAGTTTACACCACAGAATATTTCACTGCAGGAGAGTTCTTCTTTCTTTCTATAAGCTGGAGGAATTTCCAACACACAAACATAAACTTCTACCCTGCTGTTAACTTTCTCAGTGCCTCTAGAATTTTAGATGAAATCAACCAGAGTGATTGCAACCATTAACAGCCTATGGTATTAAACAGTTGATAGTTGTTACAACAGTGTTTATTTTTTTCTGTAATTTTCTATATATTTTTTTGCTGGGGAATTATTGTTTGTGACTTAAATCTTTTCAGCACCACTTTGTGTACAATTAATTTCAATAAATGTTCAAAGGCCAAGTGAAAATGGTGAAAATCTATAAAATTTCAGTCTTCTTAACTATATGAGGTGTTATGCTATGCTATTGTTCTTTTTAGCTTATTCACTTGAATTTTAATAAATTAGCTGCTCATAAATATACAAATAGAATTTCTAATTGTTTTTTAATTCATCTGTCTATTTCTAAGATGAGGTACTGAAACTATCAACATCATTTACATTGTTTGGACTGTTGTCCTCTATCTTTATTGGCATATTCACAACATTTTGGCTGTTGTACACTCTGGCCTACTTCAGGTGATATTTCTTGGAATTTTGAACTAAATAATGGGTTTGGTTCGAAATTCCAAGAAATATCACCTGAAGATGGTCAGCGCATACAACCGTCGAAACGTGAATATGGCAATAAAGATGAGAACAACAGTTTGAACAATGTAAATAGTGTAAATCGTTTTAATTCTTTGCAAAAAATTTAAGCTTTCTGAGTTGTGTAAAAACTTATGTAAACAAGTTAAGTGAGCCTTAGACACTACTTAATAATGGTCCATGGCAAGGTATTAATACATTGGCTGCATCTTGAAGTATAGCTCTTTTAGAATTGGTGTAGAGAGCAAACAAGAGAAGTATTTTTATAGTATTAAAAATAATGTTACTGTGAAAGAATCAAGAACATGTGTTGATTTTTAACATTTTCATATTTGTTCTTGTCCTTAGTAGAGAACAACAGGCAGTGACTATCCTTGTTTTTCTGTTTTATCATGTAGGTCAGATCTGTAGGATTCAAAATCCTACATTTTTTTCAAAATACGGAATGACGTGTTCTGATTGGTTATTAAATGTGAAAAATAAGAGATGATGTGTTTTCGACTACGTCTGAATTAAATGAAAAGACAGTCATGCCAAATCATTGTGAGCCTATCACATGATGAACTTTTCTTATTTAAGTGACACTTAAATCATTCCTTTTCAGTAAGGAGGATTGGTTAGCTTGCCTCAAGATTGGTCTTCCTACATCACATATTGACAGGGGACTCGATTCTGGCGGGGATTGTGTGAGCAGTGTTCCCTTTCCTTGCTATCACTCCCCACATCTTGCAGGCTGAGCACCTTCGTAAACTCCAGGATCAATCGAGTTACCTTATTGAGTGTCGATTGGCCTTGAGGGCCATTCCTCACTCCAGTGACCTTTCTTGACCTAGGAGGGTCATCTATCGTGAACTAGTGGAGGGGGTCGCGAAGGATCCGCTACATGACCGGCTTGGCTTATCAGCGAACGAACTTCACTTCTTTTGCTCTTGGGCACCAGAGGCAAATTACCTCAGCAATCCTGAGATTTTGCTTACCTGGAGACAGGTTCAGAATAGGCTAACTCTCAATGACATGGCCTTCATATGGGGCTTGGCGGATTTGCAAGAAAGTGAATGATGTGACCTTGGTCTGAAGGAGACGGTCGCGCATGCTTCTACCATTGTGTTCAGGTCAGCCACCCATGGGACTATGTTGGCGAGTTGACTGCTCATATCGCTCCCGAAAAGCCCGTGCTTATCAATCGTGTGTGTGATAATGTGTCGTCCCCGTAATCTGGGGTGAAACGAATAGTGTTTCTACCGCTGCTGGCCACGGCCCGGATGATGATTTGAACGACGAGACAGAAGGAAGTCTTGTGAGGCAGCCTTCTTTCGCATCAGGATCTGATCCGATTCTTTGAGCACCAGCTCAAGATGAAGATTAAAACTAATAGGAAACGATTGGTTTTGAAAATAGTCTTTTTAAAACCAATCGTTTGAGGTGGTTGACTGAGGCATGTTTGGTTCGTATTAATGTGGCTCGCCTTGATTTTCTTTTTTAGGTCGACCTACATCACATCGGGGTGATTTTCTGTGGAGCCCTCCCCTGGTTAGGATAGTTCACTTTTGTGTACCTAGTTAATGTGTGAGTGTCGTTCTTGGATTGCTCCTGGCTTTTTCTTTGGTTATGATTCTAGTCGAGATTGCCATCCTCCCCAGTTTGTTTTTCATACCACTTTTCTTTTGTCTTGACTGTGTCAACTTTCTTCTTTTCCCAAAGGCTGCGTTTATTTTTTCCTTTCCCTCTCTCTTAGCGAGAGAGACTCTTGATTTTATCAAAGAGCAGAACATAGCTGTCTTCCCTTTTTTTGAGGGCTGGATGAGCCCAACTAACATCAGTTATCTTTGTTTTTATATGTTGGTTTGTTTTCAGGTCCCCTCCACACTCATCAGTTATCATGTACACATTTTTATCTATACTATTGTATAATCACAAAATTTTTATCTCATGGATTGGGTTTTTTGTAGGTCCCTCTGAGTGTATAATGTGACACTATTTAGTTATGGTAATTGGCTAACTAATTAACCATAGAAATTAAAAACGAGAAATACTTAAGGCGAGAAAGAGCTATATCGAAAGATAGACTGAGTGACATTAAAAAGAAGAATTTATTTTATTTACAAAAGAAAGATACTTTTCACAAAAGACAGAAAATCAGTAAGAAAAAGCGAGACTGTGATTCTGTCAAATTAATTAATGTCACGATAAGGTAGTGACGCATCAAACAAAACAGAATTCTAAAAGATAAACAAAGCCGGCCGATGCATGCGACCATGGAGAAAATTTGGCTTGAGATCACCCTAGAGAATAGATATTAATTATCTTTCAGAGATATCATTTGACTTTAATTCCTGATTCCAGCGAGGGAAGCCATCTGGTCTATGTACAAATCTTGACATGGAAAAAAAAAAAGAGAGTCAAAAAGGGGATCATTATTATTGCTTATTCAAACTGTTGACTCGAAAATGAGCATCTGGTGATAAGAGAATTTTAAGACATGAGAAAAATAAAGAATTTAAAGAAAACGAAAAAAGCATTTTGTAAACAAAAATTTCGATAATAATTCTAAGAGGGCCAATCTAGCCACGCCCACACTGCCGAGAGATCATTGGCTAACTGGTAGCATGGGTGATAGGCGGAGGTGAATGTATGAAAAAGACGGAGAAGTTGTTAACACCCATTCAGGGGATTGGTATGAGATACCTATATGAGAGAGGAAGAGTCTAGGAGGATAACTCTTCTCCGACCTTCCCTCACGAACGAGGGAGGAACCCCGAAGTGGAAAGTGATTAATCTCCCAAAAATGGGAAGTAACTAATTTTCCTGGCCTAAGAACAAAGAGAATTCTTGTTGGGAATTAAGAATTGTCAAAGAACCCAAACCACGACAGGCCACCACACCGGAGTTGGTCGGTGTCCATATAAACGACCGTCTCAAAGCAGCTAGGCAGAGAGTTTGACAGAGTTTCGGCAGAGTTTTCAGAGTGCCAGACACGGTCGGATTTACAGAGTCAGAGTGTTGCCTCGTAGAAGCTGACTGAAAGATTTCCACGTCCTTTTCGACTTAGTCTTCCTACCAAAGCAAGTTTTTTTTATTGACGAACGGCTTAAGATACCATAATTTGCTTAAGAAACGCAAAAAGCGTCACGAATCCATAGAAACGGGCCGGGAGAGAAACACACTCCTGTATTCAACATATAGATAAAAATTATTATTTCTCAACATTTTTAAACCTCGTGAGTTTGTTTTATTATTTTTCTTTTACTTACGCTTGTGCAGTATCACCTTTACCCTGGATTCAGCTTGCACTATGGCCCGACTCCTGATTGATTTCGTCTAACTAAGATCAAAGTCACAACGTGGGTAGGATAGACTTGAGATCAAAGTAGTTACTTCGGTGACCAAGCGTTGGAGACGAGCTGAGAACGACAAAGCTGGTATCGAACCGGAAACGATCAGATCGACCGGGACACAGGCTGGTGGCAGCGACAAGGAGTCAACCCCAAAATGCTGGTGGAAGAAACCTTACAGCTTCGCGCCGCAACTGGGTGTTGACCATGGGCCAACAGCGTAGTGTCATATATTGTCATATATTGTCGCGACCAGTGGACGTCACATATTGGCGCTGGACTGCGACCGTGACCACCAGTGCGTGTCACAGTAAGGTATTATGGTATATGGAGGATCGATTGGCGATGGATGAACTCTTGTGGTGAATGTGCCAATTGTAATGAGTGAATGGTTCGTGAATTGGATTAGCTAGGTATAAGATAGTAAGTGACCACCCGGCCTCGACCACCTTTTCGGCCTTGTGCCACAATTGTATATTTTTTTTATGCAATAAATCTCGTGAGGTAGGAAATTTTCTACATGACGTCAGTCCATGCGTATCATTATTCCAATATTCAGACTTCGCGTTAAAAAACTATTTTTAACCTAATACTCAGTCTGCAATTATTTCAAAGAAATTTACAACTTGAATACGCAACCAAACTCAATATAAAATATTTGATCAAAGAAAGATAACCCTTTCAAACTTTCGTAAGTCTTTTGAAATTTACACAAATTATTTGCAAACATAAACTGTTTTAAATTCACCATAAATACCTAAATACTGAAATATACTTTTGTATATTTGAGCATACATTATAACAATACAACCTTTTGATAAAATATTATTGACATTTATGGAATCCTCCATACCTGCTTGTCACCCCCTACGGGAAGTTGCACTCTTCCCCAAATGAACATTTAACCAATCATCACTTCACTTTTCCAAACTCAACTTCCCATTGTTTAAAAGGGCACAGAAATGTAGCAAGTTGAGACAGATCCTTTTTTCTCGCGCATCTGTCTGGAGCCTATTTGAAAACCCAAAAATCTATTAAAAAAAAAAGAATCGCTCGA